TGTAGCCCTCAGCCCTCCTACCTGTCCCTGTGTAGCCCTCAGCCCTCCTACCTGTCCCTGTGTAGCCCCCAGCCCTCCTACCTGTCCCTGTGTAGCCCTCAGCCCCTCCCACCTGTCCCTGTGTAGCCCTCAGCCCTCCCACCTGTCCCTGTGTAGCCCTCAGCCCTCCTACCTGTCCTGTGTAGCCCTCAGCCCTCCTACCTGTCCCTGTGTAGCCCTCAGCTCTCCTACCTGTCCCTGTGTAGCCCTCAGCCCTCCTACCTGTCCCTGTGTAGCCCTCAGCCCTCCTACCTGTCCCCTGTGTAGCCCTCAGCCCTCCTACCTGTCCCTGTGTAGCCCTCAGCCCCCCTACCTGTCCCTGTGTAGCCCTCAGCCCTCCTACCTGTCCCTGTGTAGCCCTCAGCCCTCCTACCTGTCCCTGTGTAGCCCTCAGCCCTCCTACCTGTCCCTGTGTAGCCCTCAGCCCTCCTACCTGTCCCTGTGTAGCCCTCAGCTCTCCTACCTGTCCCTGTGTAGCCCTCAGCCCTCCTACCTGTCCCTGTGTAGCCCTCAGCCCTCCTACCTGTCCCTGTGTAGCCCTCAGCCCTCCCACCTGTCCCTGTGTAGCCCTCAGCCCTCCTACCTGTCCCTGTGTAGCCCTCAGCCCTCCTACCTGTCCCTGTGTAGCCCTCAGCCCTCCTACCTGTCCCAGTGTAGCCCTCAGCCCTCCTACCTGTCCCTGTGTAGCCCTCAGCTCTCCTACCTGTCCCTGTGTAGCCCTCAGCCCTCCTACCTGTCCCTGTGTAGCCCTCAGCCCCCCTACCTGTCCCTGTGTAGACCTCAGCCCTCCTACCTGTCCCTGTGTAGCCCTCAGCCCTCCTACCTGTCCCTGTTGTACCCCCTGTGTAGCCCTCAGCCCTCCTACCTGTCCCTGTGTAGCCCTCAGCCCTCCCACCTGTCCCTGTGTAGCCCTCAGCCCTCCCACCTGTCCCTGTGTAGCCCTCAGCCCTCCCACCTGTCCCTGTGTAGCCCTCAGCCCTCCTACCTGTCCCTGTGTAGCCCTCAGCCCTTCTACCTGTCCCTGTGTAGCCCTCAGCCCTCCTACCTGTCCCTGTGTAGCCCTCAGCCCTCCTACCTGTCCCTGTGTAGCCCTCAGCCCTCCTACCTGTCCCTGGTTAGGCCCTCCCCCCTACCTGTCCCAGTGTAGCCCTCAGCCCTCCTACCTGCCCTGTGTAGCCCTCAGCTCTCCTACCTGTCCCTGTGTAGCCCTCAGCCCTCCTACCTGTCCCTGTGGTAGCCCTCCAGCCCCCCTACCTGTCCCTGTGTAGCCCTCAGCCCTCCTACCTGGTCCCTGTGTAGCCCTCAGCCCTCCTACCTGTCCCTGTGTAGCCCTCAGCCCTCCTACCTGTCCCTGTGTAGCCCTCAGCCCTCCCACCTGTCCCAGTGTAGCCCTCACCCTCCCACCTGTCCCTGTGTAGCCCTCAGCCCTCCCACCTGTCCCCTGTGTAGCCCTCAGCCCTCCTACCTGTCCCTGTGTAGCCCTCAGCCCTCCTACCTGTCCCTGTGTAGCCCTCAGCCCTCCTACCTGTCCCTGTGTAGCCCTCCCCTCCTACCTGTCCGGTGTAGCCCTCAGCCCTCCTACCTGTCCCCTGTGTAGCCCTCAGCCCTCCTACCTGTCCCTGTGTAGCCCTCAGCCCTCCTACCTGTCCCTGTGTAGCCCTCAGCCCTCCTACCTGTCCCTGTGTAGCCCTCCCACCTGTCCCAGTGTAGCCCTCAGCCCTCCTACCTGTCCCTGTGTAGCCCTCCCACCTGTCCCAGTGTAGCCCTCAGCCCTCCTACCTGTCCCCTGTGTAGCCCTCAGCCCTCCTACCTGTCCCTGTGTAGCCCTCACCCGTCCTACCTGTCCCTGTGTAGCCCTCAGCCCCCTCCTACCTGTCCCTGTGTAGCCCTCAGCCCCCCTACCTGTCCCTGTGTAGCCCTCAGCCCTCCTAACCTGTCCCCTGTGTAGCCCTCAGCCCCCCTACCTGTCCCTGTGTAGCCCTCAGCCCTCCTACCTGTCCCTGTGTAGCCCTCAGCCCTCCTACCTGTCCCTGTGTAGCCCTCAGCCCCCCTACCTGTCCCTGTGTAGCCCTCAGCCCCCCTACCTGTCCTGTGTAGCCCTCAGCCCCCCTACCTGTCCCTGTGTAGCCCTCAGCCCTCCTACCTGTCCCTGTGTAGCCCTCAGCTCTTATCCCATCTCCACAGAGGAATTCTGGAGCTCTGTCAGATTGACCATTGGGTTCTTAGTCACCTCCCTGACCAAGGCCCTTCTCCCCCGATTGCCCAGTTTGGCCGGGCGGCCAGCTCTAGGAAGAGTCTTGGTCGTTCCAAACTTCTTCCATTTTAAGAATGATGGAGGCCACTGTGTTCTTGGGGACCTTCAATGCTGCAGAACTGTTTTGGTACCCTTTCCCAGATCTGTGCCTCGACACAATCCTGTCTCGGAGCTCTATGGACAATTCCTTCAACCTCATGGCTTAGTTTTTGTTCAGACATACACTGTCAACTGTGGGACCTTATATACTGTGGGACCTTATATCATGTGATCTGTCACATGATCTCAGTATATATACACCTGTTCTGAAAGGCCCCAGAGTCTGCAACACCACTAAGCAAGGGGCACCACCAAGCAAGCAGCACCCTGAAGACCAAGGAGCTCTCCAAACAGGTCAGGGACAAAGTTGTGGAGAAGTACAGATCAGGGTTGGGTTATAAAAAAATATCTGAAACTTTGAACATCCCACAGAGCACCATTAAATCCATTATTAAAAAATTGAAAGAATATGGCACCACAACAAACCTGCCAAGAGAGGGCCGCCCACCAAAACTCACGGACCAGGCAAGGAGGGCATTAATCAGAGAGGCAACAGAGACCAAAGATAGCCCTGAAGGAGCTGCAAAGCTCCACAGTGGAGATTGGAGCATCTGTCCATAGGACCACTTTAAGCCGTACACTCCACAGAGCTGGGCTTTACGGAAGAGTGGCCAGAAAAAAGCCATTGCTTAAAAAAAAAAAAAAAAACATATGGAAGAAGGTACTCTGGTCAGATGAGACTAAAATTGAGCTTTTTGGCCATCAAGGAAAACGCTATGTCTGGTGCAAACCCAACACCTCTCATCACCCCGAGAACACTATCCCCACAGTGAAGCATGGTGGTGGCAGCATCATGCTGTGGGGATGTTTTTCATCGGCAGGGACTGGGAAACTGGTCAGAATTGAAGGAATGATGGATGGAGCTAAATACAGGGAAATTCTTGCGGGAAATCTGTTTCAGTCTTCCAGAGATTTAAGACTGGGACAGAGGTTCACCTTCCAGCAGGACAAGTGGTTTAAGGGGTCTTGGAATGGCCTAGTCAAACCCCAGACCTCAATCCAATTGAGAATCTGTGGTATGACTTATTAAAGATTGCTGTACATCAGCGGAACCCATCCAACTTGAAGGAGCTGGAGCAGTTTTGCCTTGAAGAATGGCCAAAAATCCCAGTGGCTAGATGTGCCAAGCTTATAGAGACATACCCCAAGAGACTTGCAGCTGTAATTGGTGTAAAAGGTGGCTCTACAAAGTATTGACTTTGGGGGGGTGAATAGTTATGCACGCTCAAGTTTTCTGTTTTTTTGTTTGTTTCACAATAAAAAATATTTTGCATCTTCAAAGTGGTAGGCATGTTCTGTAAATCAAATGATACAAACCTCCAAAAAATCCATTTTAATTCCAGGTTGTAAGGCAACAAAATAGGAAAAATGCCAATGGGGGTGAATACTTTCGCAAGCCACTGTATATGGTCAATAGCAAGACAGCACAAACATATCTGGGAGAAGGCTAATTTCCACCCATGCTATTTATCAAAAACGAACACTCAAACTCACACATCAGCACAGTAAGTTAAGACTTAATATATATTTAGTTTATTATAAGTATTTGCAATTTTACACCCAATGTTTTTGTAAAAACGGACACCATTGTGAAAACCTTTCTGCATTAACTCCCCCTCCCCCCAAAAACAGACGCTCTGTAAAATAACTTTTGTTTCAATACCTTTTTAAAGCAAAGGCACACTTGTCAATAAGTGTTTTAAAAGGAAAGCAGAGAGAAAGGCTGGCTGGTGGCGGCAGAGCAGACCGAGTCAGAGTCTTAGAAGCACAGAGGAAAAGTGAGATGCTTCCATCCATGACAGTCAGCCACAGCCAGCCAACCAGCCTTCAGTAAATACCCCACATTTCCATCACAACACAACACTGAACCTGACTTGGAGGAGAAGGAGAGGAGGGACCAGGGAGCAGACAGTCTACCCTGGTCTGAAGGGGAGAAGTAGAGGAGGGACCAGGGAGCAGACAGTCTACCCTGGTCTGAAGGGGAGAAGGAGAGGAGGAACCAGGGAGCAGACAGTCTACCCTGGTCTGAAGGGAAGAAGGAGAGGAGGGACCAGGGAGCAGACAGTCTACCCTGGTCTGAAGGGGAGAAGCCTGGACCTAGAGATTTGGGAAATGGGAAGCGTGGGGTTCTGGTTAATGGGCATGATGACATGGGGTACTCCACCTCTACACTATAAAACACCAGTCAGAATGTCTTCAACCACCTCGCCAGTTGTGAATGGAAGACAGACCATAAGATTAGTCTGAACCATAGTGTCAGTCTGTAGTCTGTAGACAGTCTGTGTGGGTGTTCATTGGATGCAGGTTGGAGAAAGAGGAGGGGCTCTGTGGCCGGTCACACCCAGGGGCCTGCCTGGATCGTAGAGGGAGGAGGAAGCCTTGTGCCCAATAGCAGTTCTCCTAACATACCTCCCAGCCAACCTCTGGAGGCGGGCCTAGTCTGGGGCTTAGTAGAGGCCATTGGCTGCACCATCCACCAGTCAAAACAGGGAACCAGTAGCGCGAGAGGGATTATGTGTGAGGTGAAGTCTGCGTAGCACCCCACACGCATACATCTATTGGTCCCTGGAACTGGGAGGCTGTGTCAGCGGACTGTGATAGGTCCTCGTCATACGAACACCTTGGCGAGAGCGTCTGCCCCGGCGGAGGCGATGTAAGCCTTAGAGGGGTGGAAGGCCACGTCATGGATAGACTCATCGTTCTTCTTCCTGTGAGCTGTAAACTCCTGGATACACGTCTTAGTCTCCAGGTTCCACAGACGAATAGAACAGTCATGACCTGAGGAAGGAGAGGAGAGGGGGATTAGGGAGGGGAACGAGAGCAGACGAACAGAGCAGTCATGACCTGAGGAAGGAGAGGAGACAGGGATTAGGGCGGGGAACGAGAGCAGACGAATAGAGGCAGTCAACCGGAGAGGGAGGAGAGGAGAGAGGGATTAGGGAGGGGAACGAGAGCAGACGAATAGAGCAGTCAACCGGAGAGGGAGGAGAGGAGAGAGGGATTAGGGAGGGGAACGAGAGCAGACGAATAGAGCAGTCAACCGGAGAGGGAGGAGAGGAGAGAGGGATTAGGGAGGGGAACGAGAGCAGACGAATAGAGCAGTCAACCGGAGAGGGAGGAGAGGAGACAGGGAAGAAGTAAGGGAGAGAAAAGTGAACAGTAGGTGGGCGACAAGGCAGTTTACATAAAGTATACAGTTCTGGTGTCCCTCAGGGCTCAGTTCTGGGCCCTCTCCTGTTTTATAAAGTATACAGTTCTGGTGTCCCCCAGGGCTCAGTTCTGGGCCCTCTCCTGTTTTATAAAGTATACAGTTCTGGTGTCCCCCAGGGCTCAGTTCTGGGCCCTCTCCTGTTTTATAAAGTATGCAGTTCTGGTGTCCCCCAGGGCTCAGTTCTGGGCCCTCTCCTGTTTTATAAAGTATGCAGTTCTGGTGTCCCCCAGGGCTCAGTTCTGGGCCCTCTCCTGTTTTATAAAGTATGCAGTTCTGGTGTCCCCCAGGGCTCAGTTCTGGGCCCTCTCCTGTTTTATAAAGTATGCAGTTCTGGTGTCCCCCAGGGCTCAGTTCTGGGCCCTCTCCTGTTTTATAAAGTCTGTCATATACTCACATGGACTCTCCAACCATTGCTATTATCATAACATGCAGAATGACAAGGTATCTATCTAGCTAAGGATGTTAGAAATCATTGATCTAGAGTTGTTAGCTACTTACTGCCAGACATCAGATAGAGCCCGTTGGGGTCGACAGCTAGACTGGTAACTGCCTCCAGGTGGGCCACCATCGAGTGGATCAGCTTTCCTGAAGAGTTCAAATTGACAACATTTGTTAATTTAATGTTTCTGCTTTCTGTGTGAAGGTTAAGCTTTCTGTGAGTGCAGTAGTTGAACTGAATTCACTCCGCTTTTAAAAACATCTATAAAAACAAATTGCCGTGAGAAACCAAACGGTCAGGATGTGGCAAAAACTGGAAGACTGCGAGATTCCAAATACTTTTAGATTTAAGTAGGGACTGATGGAGGACCGTAAAGATCCGATTTAGTTCTGCGTGGAGGACACTGCTGGAGTGAAAAACGTTTGTATGTAGACCAGCAAAATGGCTGTTACCTGTGTTGTTGTCGAAGAACTTTATGTGTTTGTCCTCCTCAGCGGTGATGGTGATGGGGAGGGTGGGGTGGCTCAGCACCCTGTTGATCTGACAGGGGGTACCTGGGGAGAGGAGAGACAGCTCGTTAGGTCGCTGGTTCATATCCGGCTCCAAGGACCATGTACACTAAATAATAGACCATATTAGCCGTAAAGGCTTCCAGAACTGGGTTCAAATAGAATTGGGTTTCTTTACTTTTTTAACAAATGGTCTGGAGGCTTCCCAAACTCCCTCCCTCCCACCCCTCCTCCCTCCCTCCAGACCTACCCGTCTCTGCAGTGGACTCCAGGTTGAGCACCAGTTGCTGTGTCTCCATGTTGAAGAGGCCAATGTGACCGCTGGTGAATGATGTCACCATGTGGGCGGGCTCACTGCAGACCAGGTCCACTGACGAGGGCACGCCGAACTCTGAAGCAGTGAACCATATTGGTTGATTTCACCAAAGAATTTGAACATCATAAACATACAACACAAATCATGCGGTGTAGGATTAAAGTTAATTTGAATGACACAATATGGCAAATTAAGATGAAAACAAAGTCTGAGTGCACCTTTATTGTGGAAGGTGGCCAGGGCAGGCTTGGTATTGGAGGCGTCCCACAGCCTGACGGGCCCCGCCCCAAAGGCAAGCAGGGGAGCCCCCGGGAAAACTTAGAAAAAAAAAAAAGGGGAGAAAAAGGAGGAAAGGAAAAACGGGGAGAGGAGAAAAAAGAGAGAGAAACAGAGGAGAAAAAGAGGAGAAGAAGAGAGAAGAAGGAGAGGAAGAGCGAGAGAAGCGAGAAGAGAGAGAAAAAGAGGAGAGAAAAAAAAAGGAGAAAGAGAGAGAGAGAGAGAAGGAGAAGAGAACAGAGAGAGAAGAAAAAGAGAGAAAGAGAAGAGAAAAGGGGGAAAAGAGAGAAAAGGAAGAGAAAAAGAGAAAGAAAAAAGAAGAAGAAAGAGAGAGAGGAGAAACAAGAGAGAAGAGAAGGAGAAGAGAAGAAGAGAGAAAAGAAGAAGAACCAGAAGAGAAGAGAAAAAAAAAGAGAAGAGAGAGAAAAAAAGGAAAGAGAGACTAAAGGGAGGCAGGGAAAAAAAGAGGAAAAAGACAAAAAGGAGGCCGAAAAAGAAAGAGAAGGAAGAAGAAAGAAGGGGGAAAAAAGAGAAAAGGGAAAAAAAAAAAGAGAACGGGGGGCGAAAGGAGCGGAGAAGGAAGAAGAGGGGGGCCCCCAAAAAAAGGCAAAAAAACCCGGGGGGCCCGAAAGAAAAAACGAAGCCCAAAGGGCCAAAAACGGGGGCCCCCAAAGGGAAACAAGAAAGCGAAAGAGAAACAGACAAAGAAAAGGGCACCAAACCTTTTTTTTTCTTCCGATGAGTCATATGGGTCTACGTTAGGGTTCGGGGTGTTCCAGCTCTGAATGGTCCCGTCCACCCCTCCACTGAAACATTGCCTCTCCTGTACTGCTCATCACTACACACAGCACTGCACCCTGGTGGGCCCTGAACGTGTAGATGGGTTCCACGTCAAGAGAGGCACTCCTGGAGATGAAGACACAGAGAAATTGTGAGTTAGACAGTTGTAAACTTTCTAGACATCATGTGGACTGTATAAAGGTATCATACATTTCTGTGAGAGACATTGCTCTCACCATGTTTGGAGTCAATTCCATTTCCATTCAGTAAATTCAGGAAGTAAACTGAAATTCCAATTCTCCTCAATGAGGAATTGACTCCAAATCTGGTGAGAGGAATTGACTCCAAACCTGGTGAGAGGAATTGACTCCAAACCTGGTGAGAGGAATTGACTCCAAATCTGGTGAGAGGAATTGACTCCAAACCTGGTGAGAGGAATTGACTCCAAACCTGGTGAGAGCAATGTCTCTAGTCTAAGTCTCTGCTTTAGTGAAGTAGACACTGAGTTGTAGTCTTCCCTGTTGTCTTCTGCTGGTTAGGGTCAATATTATGGTGCTATTAGACAAAGGGTCAGTCTTACTTCTTGGTGGGGGCAGTCTTCTGCAGGTTCCACATCTTCAGCGTGTGGTCCTCTGAGGCGGTGACTAGAATCGGTTCTACGGGGTGGAACGCCAGACCTCGGATCCCGTCGAAGTGGCTACGCAGGGTGAACTTGGGGTTCCACGTCCTCCTCAGGGCATCCTGGTTGTTGGAGATCTGAGGAGGGGAAACACCATGGATTGTGGGTAGATAAAGTCTAAGTGAACTGCAATCCTTTGCATCCCAGGACAGCAGCAGGACTATAGTACTGTAAATTCCCCAGGACAGCAGCAGGGACTATAGTACTGTAAATTCCCCAGGACAGCAGCAGGACTATAGTACTGTAAATTCCCCAGGACAGCAGCAGGACTATAGTACTGTAAATTCCCCAGGACAGCAGCAGGACTATAGTACTGTAAATTCCCCAGGACAGCAGCAGGACTATAGTACTGTAAATTCCCCAGGACAGCAGCAGGACTATAGTACTGTAAATTCCCCAGGACATCAGCAGGACTATAGTACTGTAAATTCCCAAGGACAGCAGCAGGACTATAGTACTGTAAATTCCCCAGGACAGCAGCAGGACTATGGTACTGTAAATTCCCCAGGACAGCAGCAGGACTATAGTACTGTAAATTCCCCAGGACAGCAGCAGGACTATAGTACTGTAAATTCCCCAGGACAGCAGCAGGACTATAGTACTGTAAATTCCCCAGGACAGCAGCAGGACTATAGTACTGTAAATTCCCCAGGACAGCAGCAGGACTATAGTACTGTAAATTCCCCAGGACAGCAGCAGGACTATAGTACTGTAAATTCCCCAGGACAGCAGCAGGACTATAGTACTGTAAATTCCCCAGGACAGCAGCAGGACTATAGTACTGTAAATTCCCCAGGACAGCAGCAGGACTATAGTACTGTAAATTCCCCAGGACAGCAGCAGGACTATAGTACTGTAAATTCCCCAGGACAGCAGCAGGACTATAGTACTGTAAATTCCCCAGGACAGCAGCAGGACTATAGTACTGTAAATTCCCCAGGACAGCAGCAGGACTATAGTACTGTAAATTCCCCAGGACAGCAGCAGGACTATAGTACTGTAAATTCCCCAGGACAGCAGCAGGACTATAGTACTGTAAATTCCCCAGGACAGCAGCAGGACTATAGTACTGTAAATTCCCCAGGACAACAGCAGGACTATAGTACTGTAAATTCCCCAGGACAGCAGCAGGACTATAGTACTGTAAATTCCCCAGGACAGCAGCAGGACTATAGTACTGTAAATTCCCCAGGACAGCAGCAGGACTATAGTACTGTAAATTCCCCAGGACAGCAGCAGGACTATAGTACTGTAAATTCCCCAGGACAGCAGCAGGACTATAGTACTGTAAATTCCCCAGGACAACAGCAGGACTATAGTAGTGTAAGAGCACTATAATACTAACCCTAACCTGAAAGCATATTAGTTGAGGAAGGTATTGAATGGACAGACATCAGTAATGTAAAGCACACAGATCATGTTCTTGGCTAGTGGAGAGTGCTGATTGTATTTAGGCTACCCCAGATCCTCCTCATGTCGTAGGCCAGACTATCAGCCTCATTAGCTATGCTGAGTCCAGCCAGCTCCCCCAGTCCCTGCTCACACCCCCCTCTTCCTCCTGTCCTCCTCCCACAGAGGTAGATGGATACTTACATCGTAGGCCAGACTATCAGCCTCATTAGCTATGCTGAGTCCAGCCAGCTCCCCCAGTCCCATCTCAGCCTCCATGTTCTCATCAGGACCCATGATAAAGGACTTCCCAGCGGAAGGAGGGAACGTCAAGGCCTCCACTGGAAGAGAGATGGAGGCAGTCAATTAAATCAATCCACCAGTAACCTGCAGGATACTCATTACACTCAATATCTTAACACTGGGCAAATACATGGTACCATCCAACACCTAGTTTAGACGAGCCCTGGGTCCAACAAAGGCAAGGACAGAGGTACAGTACCTTCGTCAAAATTCAAGATGTGCACTGGGAAAATATATGGTAGTACAGATACAGGGACAAGGACAGAAACAGGGACAAGGACAGAGACAGGGACAAGGACAGAGACAGGGACAGAAACAGGGACAGAGACAGGGACAAGGACAGAGACAGGGACAAGGACAGAGACAGGGACAAGGACAGAGACAGGGACAAGGACAGAGACAGGGACAAGGACAGAGACAGGGACAGAAACAGGGACAGAGACAGGGACAAGGACAGAGACAGGGACAAGGACAGAGACAGGGACAGAGACAGGGACAAGGACAGAGACAGGGACAAGGACAGAGACAGGGACAGGACAGACAGGGACAGAGACAGGGACAGGACAGAGACGGACAAGGACGAGACAGGGAGCGACAGGGGACAAAAACAGAGGACAGGGACAAGGACAGAGACAGGGACAAGGACAGAGACAGGGACAAGGACAGAGACAGGGACAAGGACAGAGACAGGGACAAGGACAGAAACAGGGACAAGGACAGAGACAGGGACAAGGACAGAGACAGGGACAAGGACAGAAACAGGGACAAGGACAGAGACAGGGACAGAGACAGGGACAGAAACAGGGACAGAAACAAGGACAGAAACAGGGACAGGGACAGAGACGAGGACAGAGACAGGGACAGAGACAAGGACAGAAACAGGGACAAGGACAGAAACAAGGACAGAGACAGGGACAAGGACAGGGACAGAGACAGGGACAGAGACAGAGACAAGGACAGAGACAAGGACAGAGACAGGGACAGAGACAGGGACAGAGACAGGGACAGAGACAGGGACAAGGACAGAGACAGGGACAAGGACAGAGACAAGGACAGGGACAAGGACAGGGACAAAGATAGGGACAAGGACAGAGACAGGGACAGAGACAGGGACAGGGACAGAGACAAGGAAAGAGACAGGGACAGAGACAGGGACAGAGACAAGGAAAGAGACAAGGACAGGGACAGGGACAAGGACAGAGACAGGGACAGAGACAGGGACAAGGACAGGGACAGAGACAGGGACAGTACCTTCATCAGTGCGGTTGTCCTGGTGCTGTTCATTGATCCTTGGTGCGTTGGAGTGGGCCTGGGCGGTAGAGGAGGGTTCTCTGGGACTCATGTCCTCCTGGTCCCTCAGGTTGGCTAACATGTCCTGGAGCTTAGACCGGTTAGGTCCTGGGGGAGGGAAGACAGGTAGGGGGACAATATCATGTACAAAGTCAGAAGCTGTGTCCCAAATGGAAGCCCTATGTGCCCTGGTGAAAACAGGTGCACTATAAAGGGAAGTGGATGCCATGTGGAACTCAATCAGAGTGAAATTGGCTTGGCAGGTAGTAGAGCTGCGACCACAAGGGATCGTATCTACCTGCCCCTGCCCCTGAACACACATCCTGAATACTCACCACCCCCACATCAAAAATCAACACAACAGAAATATCATTTGGTGAGGACAAAAGAGCAAGAAAAGACAGGCTGTAGTTGAAAATGATCCCAGGATGAATCTGGACAGAATCACGGCACATGGAGAGGATAACGACTGATGCTAATGTAGGAACATGGGGCTGGGCATCTCTGTCTTGTTTCTGTATCATGACATCCACAACTTAAATAGTCTTGTCTTTCAAGGTTGCAGAGTGGATTCTAAGTGTTGTTTATGCCCTTCCATCACTACTAGAAGATAGGTATGTTGAGTAGGTTGAGTGCAATATGATTCAGTTAGGGTTTGAATCCTGGCAGACTAACTCCAATAGAGGTTCTGTAGACTGAAATAAGAATGACAATGGTAATATCATGGGGAATGATACCCTGTAGCTAGCAGTGTACACATTCATTTCTAAACTAGAGACAGAACAGAATGGAGCAGGCATTGGAGGATATAAAGGAATAGCAAAACAAACAGATCCACAGACAGACAACGTTTACATAAAGAGACAGAGCTGAAGACAGAGCTATGGAAACAGGAAAGAGAGCTGAAGACAGAGCTATGGAAATAGGAAAGAGAGCTGAAGACAGAGCTATGGAAATAGGAAGGAGAGCTGAAGACAGAGCTATGGAAATAGGAAGGAGAGCTGAAGACAGAGCTATGGAAATAGGAAAGAGAGCTGAAGACAGAGATATGGAAATAGGAAAGAGAGCTGAAGACAGAGCTATGGAAATAGGAAAGAGAGCTGAAGACAGAGCTATGGAAATAGGAAAGAGAGCTGAAGACAGAGCTATGGAAATAGGAAAGAGAGCTGAAGACAGAGCTATGGAAATAGGAAAGAGAGCTGAAGACAGAGCTATGGAAATAGGAAAGAGAGCTGAAGACAGAGCTATGGAAATAGGAAAGAGAGCTGAAGACAGAGCTATGGAAATAGGAAAGAGAGCTGAAGACAGAGATATGGAAATAGGAAAGAGAGCTGAAGACAGAGCTATGGAAATAGGAAAGAGAGCTGAAGACAGAGCTATGGAAATAGGAAAGAGAGCTGAAGACAGAGCTATGGAAATAGGAAAGAGAGCTGAAGACAGCTTAGAAAGAGCAGCTAAAGTAAAAGAACAAGATGCTTGTTCTTGATTTAAGGCTTTTGTTTCTATTTCTCTTACTCTACAGAGAGAGAAGAGGAAGAGGAGGAGGCGGCATGGAGAGAGGACTTACTCTTCCCCTTGCGCTCCTTCCTGTACTCCTCTTTGAGTTTGGTTATCAGACCCGGGTCCACGTCCCAGGCCTCTGACATGGCAGTCTGCTCCTCTTCCTCTGCAGGGGGACAAACCAGAGCGATAGGAGGGTTTGGCCAGGATCTAGATGGGACCAATGCCTACAGGAGGGTTTGGCCAGGATCTAGATGGGACCAATGCCTACAGGAGGGTTTGGCCAGGATCTAGATGGGACCAATGCCTACAGGAGGGTTTGGCCAGGATCTAGATGGGACCAATGCCTACAGGAGGGTTTGGCCAGGGTCTAGATGGGACCAATGCCTACAGGAGGGTTTGGCCAGGATCTAGATGGGACCAATGCCTACAGGAGGGTTTGGCCAGGATCTAGATGGGACCAATGCCTACAGGAGGGTTTGCCCTGGTCTTAGAAAGTCCCTCCAATAACTAGCCACTGAGCTCAATAAGGCCAGAAACTATTTCAGTAGTTATACAGGAGTTGAAAGGGAAGTAGAGTCTCCCAAGGAGAGTAGACCTTTAGGACCGGAGGAGCTCAGGGACCTGTGGAGACCATCCTTAACCAAAACCACTCTGTCCATCTTTCTATCCATGTTCTTGCATTCTCAATCTTTTCTTTCTTGCATTCTTTCTGATCAGATTTCCAGGTTTTGGTCACATTCCACGGTTAGTCTACACCTGTAGTTTACAAAGCACGTGACAAATAAAACTGCATTTTATTTTATTTGAAGTCAATTTCCTTCATAGACCAACACAGATGTGCAACAGACATGACTACCACAGACTTACAACACACAATGGAACATATTAGACAACAGAGGGGTAAAGAAAGACAAGTAATATGTCTAAAGTTATGAGTTGGGGTTGATGTATGGACTATGGTGATGGACAACAGTTCAACAATCTGCAATCTGTTTGAACAAAAAAACACCAGAGAAAAATAACTAAAACAAAAAAACATGAAATGGCCAGTTTCAACCGGTTTCAGAAGGAAACAGTCATGAAATGGCCAGTTTCAACCGGTTTCAGAAGGAAACAGTCATGAAATGGCCAGTTTCAACCGGTTTCAGAAGGAAACAGTCATGAAATGGCCAGTTTCAACCGGTTTCAGAAGGAAACAGTCATGAAATGGCCAGTTTCAACCGGTTTCAGAAGGAAACATTAAAATACTTAAATGGTTAGTGTGTGTAAAATAACTTTAAAAAATAAGTTAAAAAATAAAAATGATTTGATATGTGGTATTTAAGGTAGTAAATACTCCCCATCTTCAGTTATTCATGAAATAAAACTATAGTCTACCAGTGTGTTGGTTGACGGTCATGTGTCTGACAAGCCAGAAACAGCTTACATCCTGCTCTAGCCAGGAGCCACATGGAGACAGTACCCAACCCAGCACCCAGCAAACTAGCCAGGAGCCACATGGAGACAGTACCCAACCCAGCACCCAGCAAACTAGCCAGGAGCCACATGGAGACAGTACCCAACCCAGCACCCAGCAAACTAGCCAGGAGCCACATGGAGACAGTACCCAACCCAGCACCCAGCAAACTAGCCAGGAGCCACATGGAGACAGTACCCAACCCAGCACCCAGCAAACTAGCCAGGAGCCACATGGAGACAGTACCCAACCCAGCACCCAGCAAACTAGCCAGGAGCCACATGGAGACAGTACCCAACCCAGCACCCAGCAAACTAGCCAGAAGCCACATGGAGACAGTACCCAACCCAGCACCCAGCAAACTAGCCAGGAGCCACATGGAGACAGTACCCAACCCAGCACCCAGCAAACTAGCCAGGAGCCACATGGAGACAGTACCCAACCCAGCACCCAGCAA